TAAAGCTGGATTCTTTGTCTGATCTGGGGTTTATTATCATAGTAGTTTTAAGCTGTGTTATTAGCCACATTGATATATGAAAGGTGCATTATAATATAACTCTTGTGTGCCACCTGATGTGGTTCTCCCTCAACTGGGACACATCATTTGGTATGATAGGTTATCTTCTGGAACTCTAAGTATTTTGTGTGTTTAATCTGTTATGATATACTAGGGTTTTTTTTGTTTGTTTTGGTTTTTTTTTTTAATTATAGCATAATGCTAATTTAAAAAAAGCCTGTAAATCTCATAAATAAGCCAGCTAACAGAGTTGTATGCTGAAGAATAATCTAGCTGTTGCCTGTATGCTGCTAAACCAAAACAGAATTAGAACTCATTTTGAGGCAAATGCAGTTAAGATCCTACATAGTGCATAAATAAGCATTGCAAGGCTACTAGCAGTCGCAGGACCCAGGAGGACTGGATACATTCTGTCCAAATTTCAGGAACATTTCTTACTGCTTACCTCATAAAACACTTCTGTTCGTGGCATCTCTGTGTCTCTGAACCAAACATGATTATTGAGTTTAGTGCTTGTTGGTTTTATTATGTGTTACACTGAGTGGCAGTTTGTACTGCAAATTTCTTTAAAATATTGTATGTGCTGAAAAAGGCCAAATCCAGATAAGTGGGTTCACGTGCCAACAGAGATGCTTTATTTGTCACGTTATTATAACAATCTGTAGTAAGCAAAAGCAATTCAGATTTGTACATTTTTATATTGTACTTATTGGCATCACTGGTCTGAAATGCACATTTTCACCAACAGACCTGTAACAGACAAGTTTCCAGCAAAAAAATCTAAAGTCTAGAAATAAAATTGGTAAAACCCAAGTGTTGTCATCTTTTAATTTACTTGGTTTTTTTTTTATTGCCTTGAAAATGCTGAATGGTTGTAACTCCCCAGTGCTGTGAGTAAAGCACATGACATTTTCTAGATTTGACTCTCCACATTTTAATAGCTGAAGACCTTTTGTTGTTATTTTAGGAAACCGTGGGTGTTTCGAGCCATGGGTAGGTAACTGCCTGCCTGTCACACCAACGTGTCTTTTTAAAGCAGCAAAATATTTTTTTCCTGCCTGAAGACTTTATTTTTTAACACTGAAGGAAATTAGTCAAGAGTAAAATGCCCTTTGGTGTGGTTCATGTGAATAAAGGGTAAAACAAAGTAGGTGTTGGGTGGCACAGAATGCTTGCTGATATTTTCTCATGAGTGGAAGGTTTTGTGTCCTAGAAGACCTTAACAGGACAGGTGGTTTTAAAAGCCATATGGTTAAGCTGCCTTCTTCTTCTGTGCCTTCCCCTCAGACACAGCTTTTATAGCTAAGATAAGGAATAAGCCTGAAAAATATTAATATAAAATATTAAATTAAACCTTAAAAATATTTAAATATATTTACATACTACAAGTATGTAAAAAAAAAGAACTGGACCTAGGATAGGAATTAGATATTATTACAAAGTAAAATGAGAAAAAAAATATAACCTGCTCCAATACACATTCTAAAGTATCTCTGAAAATGGGAGGTGCACATTATCAATTATTATTTTCAGAGCTGAACACAGCAGAAACAGCTTATTTTCAGTGGAGATGGCCAAGCTTATAACCTATGTATTTGATTATTCTGTGAAATTATTTCTGCCTTAAAAAAATCTATGTGAAAGGCCGAGTTCTTGTCCTCCCTGTCACAACTGAGAAATTCAGTATCTGCCTTCTGAGTTTCCCATTGACTAAACTTCACGTTACAACTCATTCTGTGCAGGGAGTGCAGCACAGGAAATGAAAAATGAAACTCCAGAGCTAACTTCTAACGTGTTAATCGTTGTCTAGTGCAGAATAAGGTCCTTTCAGGGCAGTTACCACTAGATGGGAAACCACCTGCATCAGAAGAATCCCAGATGAGCTCGGTGGTTTCCCAGCCATTTCAGAAACCTGAAGCCTGTGTGGCCTGCTGTGAAATCTCAGATCAGGTGGGTGAAGGAAAACCAGTGCAAACGGAGTCTGGTTTGTTCCATTTGAAAGGGGCAGCTCCTCTGTACACTGAGTTACACTGGGACGTGTAAAACACTGAAAGATGACCTCAGCTAAACTCACACGGGCTTCAAAATCACATCAAGACAAAGCTTAAATTGGTCTGGGCCAAAAATGATTCATTTTCCCCAGCATATTAAGAAAACCCCAGAAATCCCCAAAAGAACAAATAGCTTACTTTTGTATGGCTGATGGCTCATCCCTCTGATCTTAGGCATTTGAAAACCAAGTGAAGACACACTTAGAGGATCTTGACTTCTGACAAAAATCTTGTGCTGATAAAAACATTACAGTGATTCAGTGACAAATGTAAACCTGTGTTTGGTTGAATGTGTTAAGTAGGTTTTGCCATTCTTATTTCTTTTATAAATGCTATTAAACTGACTAAGTGTTGTGACTTAAGTAGGTTTAAGCCCACATAGTCAGCTCTATTATTTACAATTTCCTTCTGAACATCATCTCTAAATGCAGACTCCTAAACTTGAACGTTGGGTGAACTATGCCAGTATTACTCACATTGCAAAGGGCAGAAAGACAAGAATGTAGCAAGAAAAACAATTTACTATAGGCTGTAAAAAAATGCACGTTCAGCTAGGCTA